TCTAAAACAAACAAACAAAAATACTAAGAAGAAATAAAATAGTGTTACTCCTCCCTTGTCTCTATTATTATTATTAGTAGTAGTAGTAGTAGTAGTAGTATAGTAGTAGTAGTAGTAGTAGTAGTAGTAGTAGTAGAGGCCTGGTACACAAAATTTGTGCACAGGTAGGGTCTCTATGCCTGACCAGCAATCAGGGCCGATCAGGGCCTTCCTTCCCCTGGTTGCCAGCTGCCAGCTGGGGCCTTCCTTGATTCTGTGCCACCCCTGGTGGTCACCGAACATCATAGCAAGCAGTCAAACTTCCAGTCTGTTGAACTCCTGAGGGGAAAATTTGCATATTAGCCTTTAATTATATAAGATTTTTTTTAGATAGGGCCCTAGCCAGTTTGGCTCAGTGGATGGAGTTTTGGTCTGCAGACCAAAGAGTCCCGGTTCGATTCTGGTCAAGGGCACTTACCTTGGTTACCGCCTTCTCCCAGGCCCCTGCCCTGGTCAGGACTCATGCAAGAGGCCCCTGAGGAAAAAGAGCACACAGGGATTCTGGGGAGAGCAAGCTCTCCATGCCACTCTTTCTGCTGGAAGAATTTCCCTATCTCTTCCACTCTCCCTAAAAATCATTGGAAAAAAATCCTCGGGTGAGGATTAAAAACAAACAAACAAAAAAGAAATGTGATAGAGAATATACACCTGACTTTTCTCTCCTCTCTGTCAGATCAAATGCTAGAGATTCCAGTTTGCTCAGTTGACAAAAGCCAGAGAACAAGGAAGCTCTTGATTAATCTCTTCACACCCCTTCCCAAATTGTTATTTTCCTATCTTACCCAGCTCTGTAGAAAGAGCCATCATCTCTATTCACTTGTTCAAACCAAAAATGTAAAATCATTCTTACTTTTTTTTTTCCCTCCGACATTGCAACCAATCCATTAATAAATCTTATGTGTTCTACCTCAAAAAGCTATCTCTCAGCTATTCTTTCCTCTCCGTATGCCACATTTCTTGTGTAGATTTCAGAAATAGCTGCATAACAGGTCATTCTGCTTGCTTTCTTAGACTTTTCTACTCTCTACATAAAATGCCAAAGACCTCAGAGTGACCTTTAAAAAATGCAAGTCAAATAATGTCTCTGCTTGGAATCTGCCCAAACGTTCCCTTGCATGTGACTCAAACCCAAACGTATCATTCTGGGAAAAACTTCCTATGCGGCTTGCTTCCTACCTACATAGCAGTATTTTCAAAAATCTTTTCTTCCTCATTGTAATGCTTACTTGCTGTGTGAAAGTCTTTGTAAAATATCTGTTTCTGATCTCTTGTTAAAGAAACTGAAAGTCTTTTTGTTCCTAACATATCGGAAGGAGATGACAACACATCCTAATTATTTGCTTACATGTTTCTCTCTCTGGAAACATGATAGTATTATTCATCCTATCTAATAAAAGAGAAACATGGTAATTAGCCATACATCCGTTACCCTTCCCATTGGCTAATCAGAGCAATATGCAAATTAACTGCCAGCCAAGATGACGGCCGGCAGCCAGGCAGTTTGAAGCGAACATGAGGCTTGCTTGCTTCTGTGACGGAGGACTCCAACGTTCCCCGCCTGCATTGCCGGCCTCTGAGCCTGCAGTTTGAACATTGTAACAAGATATAGAAGCTAAACAAAACCCCAGAAACCTGCTTTCAGCGAGCTGGGATATCAAGGCTGGAGTTGATACAGTGT